ATGGTATACAAATAAACCCTGTATATTCCCTTGCAGATTTACCCTGCATCAACATTATACCCCTTCTGCTTCTCTCTCTCTCTCAAACTCTTGCACTTCCTACACACACACAAATACACACATTGTTTTCTGACCCTTTGAAAATAAACTGCATAGATAATAGTCTAAGGCTAAATACTTCAGTGTGCGTTTCCTAAGAATGAGGGTATTTGCTTACACAACCACAGGGCAGTCATATGCTTCAGTAAATTTAACAGTGACACAATACTTTAGTCTATGGTTTATATTTCATTTTGTCAGCTGACCTTGTAATGGTTTAATAGCATTTCCCCCACTCCCGTACAGGATCCACCCTAGCATCAGGTAGGGTATTTGTCATGTCTCTTATCCTCCTTTAATCTGAAATATGATCATAGCCTTTCTTTGTTTTTTTTTATGACATAAGCATTTTATGACATAAGCATTTTTGAAAAATATATTTTCCCCTTTCAACCTTTAAAAATTTTTCATGATTAGCTTATATCTTCTTGGCTAGAATATTGCACAGGCAATACAGTGGTTTTTAGTGTGTTTCTTGGGGTATGACATTGGAAGGTGCATGATACCCATCTGCCCTCATTGGTGATGTTAATTTTGATGATCAGGTTTAAGGTTTTACCTGATTTGTCCCTGACATTTCAATGTTGATAATTATATCGGCTTTGCTGTGTCTTTTTAGTTTTGCTTAATTGAAAATCATAGGCTTCATCTAGATGATTTGCCTACTGGCGTCTGAAGATGCAGATTGATTCAGATAGTGATAATTTTCATAAGCCCACTGCAAGTTACAGAAATAGCCGTAGCAGAATCTAAATTCACCATTTGAAACTAAAAGGAGGGATGCTCAGTCTGAATTTGAGAAAGATTTAAATCATAGAACTTTTTAAAAAAGTTAACTATTTCAGATATGTTCATTAGCTTTATTGTTAGCAGTATTATTAGTATTATAGTATTATTTGGATCTTCTCTAATGATGTGTGCTGTTTAACAAAGGAGTATTTACAGTTGTGTGTGTAAAACTGGCTCATAGATTGGGCGGGGGGAGCCAGGGACTCTAGCTAGCCCCTGTCAGAATGATAAATAACCACTTTTTTATTTTTTAGGACTTAATGTGTCCAAATATTAACTTTACTAATAAAACATGTATTCTTAAGAACTAGGAAACTTTTAAGAGTCTTTCTGCTGCAACATTAGCTGTTTGCCTTTTTGTTTTAGGTAGACTACAGTAATACCTACAAGACTACAAAAACCCAGAGCTGCATCCACCTTCTTAGCGAGGCTCATCTGTTGGTGAGAGCTGCCCTGATGGATGCCGGTCAGCTGGAACCTGGAGAAAAAGTGGAGCTTTTAGAAGCATTTAAAGAAAGCTGTGGGCACCTTGGAGACTGCTATAGCAGGTTGATGATGCTTCTCAGAAACTTGTTAGAGAAGCCATCTTTAGCTTTGGGTGCACTTGCTAGCTTTTCCATCTCTGGTAGTTACCTGATAAATGGGGGGAGGTATGCATTAGGGGAGGTGGCTCATTTATTTAATTCACAAGCATTTGCTGAGCATATACTGTGTGCCAGGTATTGTGCTAAGCTTAGAGATATAAAGATGAATATGACCTGCCTCAAGTAGTTATAGTATGTTAGATGAACAGTGAGTTTTAAGTTCATGAGTCTCCCAACAACTTGTAAATTTGAAGTTTTTTTCAGGCCTTGAGCTGGGGTGGGGGGTCATGACCAAAGAAAATCCCTGAGACAGGTGTATTACTAATTCATTCCCTATTAACTTTAAGGGAGAGATACCAGTTGGGTGGTCTTTTTTTAGCCTTGGTAGTCAATGTTTTTATGATGACAAAAAAGGACACTTATGAATAGTGACTTATTTCCAAGAATGACGTTTACAAATTGTTTTGTATATGATTGTTTCAAAGACTTACTTGACCTATGGGGATAATTATAAATTAATAAAACGGACTTTCCCTACCTATAAACACCATTATGCAAATAAAATTCATGTAATGATTTTTTTCTGTTGTGACCAAACCAAAAGAACTACATTAATTAGAATGACTTTGCAGAATTAAACTTGGGGATTGTTTCAACTGCTAATGAAAAGTATTTTGAGATTTATGTCATTTAGGAAGCATGATCTGTTTTATTATCAAATGTGGCTTATATATGACAAATTTGAGATTTCTTTGCTTCTTTTCTTCAGGCTTGACACCCAGCATTCCCACCTCGCCTTGCCCTACTACAAGATGTCTGGTTTGTCTATGGCTGAGGTTTTGGCTCGAGTGGACTGGGCAGAAGAGGATGGATCACAGAAATATGAGAGGGGATTGATCTTTTACATTAGTCATTCACTTTATGAAAACCTGAATGAAGAATTAAGTGAAGTGAATATAATTTTCTATTTAGTTGTATATAATATTTTTAACTTTTCATTGTAGCAATTTATTGCATGTAATAACATTTAGAAGTCAAGTTTCAAATACTTTGATATAATTTCTTTTCATAAAAAGGTAACTAATGTGCCCCTTTTTTCATTAGTAATTATAGAATTACAGCTTGGAAAGGAACTTATAATTATCTTCTCATACTTTCTCATTAGGAGAAATATGGTCCATTATGATTGAGTGACCTGCCCAATGTAACAGATGGTTATTTTCTGAAGAATGATACAGAGTGGGGGCCTAGTCTTCCTTCTCATCTGTAGCCCTTTCCACCACCCATACTCTCCGAGTGTCCAAAGCTTCACTTACACTATACTGGCCTAGTGACCTGGACACATTATTAAGGATTATTTTTAGCCCCTCATGTGTTTTTAAAAGGAAATGAATACAGATAATGCAAAGCTGAATATTATGATACCACATGTTTTAAGATTTTGAGAGAAATTAAATTTTATCATAAATTATCCCATTAGCTACATTTTGTATTAAGCTGTAATTTTTATATAATGGACTTTTGAGTATTATTCAATATTTCTTCTGAACGCTTATTAAAATTAGAAGTACTGGCCACAATTTGGTACATATTTTCACTGCTTTGTCTTCATTTTAACTCAGCAGACAGACTACTTCAGATCATATGAGGTCTCTCACATTATCCCCATCAACTCTGTCTTTTAAAATCAAAATATATTACTATAATTTTAATTGGAATGTTGTATCTTGGCTGTGTCTTTTTTTCCCTGATTTTGTTGCTTTCGACTGGTTGACTGACTTTTATTTCTTGTTCTTGCTCACCAAAGGAATTAGCGGTAAAAGTGGTTAAGATGTTTCATGTGGCTGAGCCAAAGCAGCTGCCCCATGTTCTCTGTAGTCCTTCTATGAAGAATATTAATCCTTTAACTGCCATCAACTATCTAAGGAAACTGGATACTTCTGGGTTTTCATCAATCTTAGTGACATTGACCAAAGCAGCGATGGCTCTGAAAATGGGAGATCTTGACATGTACAGAAATGAAATGAAAAGCCATTCAGAGGTATGGTACCCCACCTGGTATTCAAAGCAGTATCAAATAGGACCTTGTAGTCCTGAGGTATTTAGCTTTCTTCTGGCTTCTGTCTAGCTCATTCTTTCTTAGTCGTAAAGGAAATTAGATTTGATGCTAGAAAGGAAGTGATCCAAAGTGGAAGTGCTTGGGCTTTGAATCTGGCAAATGAAAAAGAATTGTAAGTGGTAGTAGTGGAAGGGTAGTAAACCCTCAGTGTCAGGTACGTTCAGAGCATGGGGAATATGTAGGTTCTGCCCTGAGCTGACAGTCTGCATGAGAGGATGGCATGCCTACTGAAAACAGAATGAAGTGTATTCAGGTACAGCAAGTAGGATATTAACTGTGAGCCTTAGGAGTCCAGTGGTTGCAGAAATAGCCTGCATTTGGGAAAATCACAAAGGACTATATGGAGGGTTGGACATTTGAAAGGTATAGCAAAAAAAGATAGCTTGCCCTTAGAAGAGAGGCTATCTAGGGGCATGAGCCAAAGATGTTAGTCATTACAGGAAGAAATTAAGAGGTGACATTAACTGAGCACTTATTATGTCCTAGGCCTATTCTAACCTCCTTGCTTATATTCTCTTATTTAATTCTTGCAATAATGCTATAAGGTAGATGCTGTTATTGTACCTACTCAACAGGTGAGGTTAAATAGCTTGTTCAAGATCACACTGCAGGTGAGTAGTAGAGCCAAGATTTAAAGCAAGCAGTCAGGCTTCAGATCCTCTGCTCCTTCACTTTTGTTTTACTGCCCAAATGTGGTCAGATACCCACATTATGACTTTGGTTTCTAAAACAAGAAGAGTAGGAGTGCTTTATCACTGTATGAATGACACATTTTGTTATGATGAGAAGAATAAGTCAACACTGAGGTATTGTTTGCTTTGAAGAATAGAATCCTAGAAAGATGAATTTTCTTTTCATAATTTTGAAAAAGCCCTCGGTATATTATTGTTAAATCAAGTGCACTTAAATATAAAGCTCTCTGCAAAAATTGGGCATATATATGCTTAACTAAATATTAAGAGCTTCTGTGCAGACAGTTAACAATGATAATCTTTTAGAGTAAAACTGGTCTTTATAGTTAAAGAAAAAATTGAGATTAAAGTAAATTATTAGTAGTTTAACCATGAATCTTGAGTACACTAGCATGTATTTCCAAGATGCATGCAATGTATATTTTGTTCCTAAATTTCTTTTTTTATGTTAAGATGAAGTTGGTATGTGGATTTATTCTTGAACCTCGGCTATTGATTCAACAGAAGAAGGGACAGATTTTCCCAACTGAGCTTGCAGTTCACTTGAAGGAGACTCAGTCTGGATTACTTGTGGCTTCAATCCTGGGCTTACAGAAGAACAACAAAATTGGAATTGAAGAAGCAGATTCCTTTTTTAAGGTTTGTCACTTTGAAAATGTTAATTGTTCTAGATATCCCGATAAAATTCGTAGGGGGCAGGGAGCAGAATAAGATGAGTGAGTTTTCATTTGTTTATTGAAAACAAACAAACTTAGATATAACCAATTTATAAAAGTATATAGAGTATAAAAGAATATATCTAAAAAATTTCATTCATGCAAGCTATAATCTGTTTCCTGTTAAAATGTGTAAACTTGCTTTGCCATGGCACTAATGCTAACGATAAATTACTAAATACATGGCCTACATGATGGAGTGCTATTCAGACCAGCTGTAACTCGATCAATATTATACTTATCTGGGGTATGGGGGCTTGTTTCACTGTTTTCAAGGTGCTTTGTGGTAAAGATGGAGATACCATTCCTCAGCTCTTAGTGGACTTTTGGGAAGCACAGCTGGTAGCATGTCTCCCAGATGTGCTGCTGCAGGAACTCTTTTTCAAACTCACATCACAGTACATCTGGAGATTATCAAAGAGGCAGCCCCCAGACACCGTACCGTTGAGAACATCAAAGGATCTGGTAAGATAAAGGAATGATACATTACACATTGCAATAATGTACCTTCTTATTTTTAATGGCTTTGAATCAAACCTAATTTATGTTACCAGATATCTTTTTTAAGCAGGATTTTAAAATACACTTAAAACTTGTGCATGGGTGTAGTTGCCCATGTTTTAAGTAATTTTATATTCTCAGAGTACCCCTACCACTTCTTTGTTACTTACTTCCAGTGGTAGCTCGGTAACTAAAACATGAAGGAAGGGGCTTTGCCAGAACATGTTTATGTTCCCTCAGGCGATGGTCATGAAGCAGACCACAAGAAAAGAGGCATCTGTGAACCCGCTTACGGGTGAGGACCTGCAGGAGGCTTATGGGAGAGGACCGCACACACAGAGCTGCTCTGTAGCCCTTACCACTGCTTTTACCCTCCTCCTTCCTCCCCTCCCAGGGCTTTGCCTTTCATCGATGCCACAGCTAACTGGAAAAGTCACCAACTTCTTTTTTTTTAAATATATTTTATTGATTATGCTATTATGGGTGTCCCATTTTTTCCTCCCTTTTATTCCCCTCTGCCCTGCACCTCCACTCCTACCAGCTTCCCCTTCCCCACTTAGTTCATGTCCATGAGTCATACATGTAAGTTCTTTGGCTTCTCCATTTCCTATACTACTTTTAATCGCCCCCTGTCTATTTTGTACCTACCAATTATGCTTCTTATTCCCTGTACCTTTCCCCCATTCTCCCCCCTCACTTCCTTGCTGATAACCCTCCATGTGATGTCCATTTCTGTGAATCTGTTCCTGTTTTAGTTGTTTAGTTGTTTAGTTGTTCCTGTTTTAGTTGCTTAGTTTTTTGGTGTTTTTTTTTTAGGTTTAGTTGTTGATAGTTGTGAGTTTGTTGTCATTTTACTATTCATATTTTTGATCATCTTCTTTGTCTTAGTTAAATCCCTTTAACATTTCATGTAATAAGGGCTTGGTGATGATGACCTCCTTTAACTTGACCTTATCTGAGAAGCACTTTATCTGCCCTTCCATTCTAAATGACAGCTTTGCTGGATAGAGTAATCTTGGATGTAGGTCCTTGTGTTTTAAGACTTGGAATACTTCTTTCTAGCTCCTTCTTGCCTGTTAGGTTTCTTTCGAGAAATCAGCTGATAGTCTTATGGTAACTTTCTTATGATAGTCCTTTGTAGGTAACTTTCTCCTTTTCTCTTGCTGCTTTGAGGATTCTCTCCTTAATCTTTGATCTTGGGTAATGTAATTATGATGTGCCTTGGCTTGTGCTTTTTTGGGTCCAACTTCTTTGGGACTCTCTGGGCTTCTAGGAGGTTCAGGAAGTCTTTCCTTTGCCAGATTGGGGAAATTCTCCTTCATTTATTTTTCAAATAACTTTTCCATTTCTTGCTCTTTCTCTTCTCCTTCTGGCACCCCTATAATTTGGATGTGGGAATATTTAAAGTTGTCCTGGATGTTCCTAAGCCTCTCCTCATTTTTTTTGAGTTCTTGTTTCTTCATTCTGTTCTGGTCGAATGTTTATTTCTTCATTCTGCTTCAAATCATTGACTTGAGTCCTGATTTCCTTCCATTCACTGTCGTTTGTGTATTTTTCTTTATTTCACTTTGCATAGCTTTCACTTCTTCCTCTGTTTTGCAACCATACTCAACCATTTCTGTGAGCATCTTGATGACCAGTGTTTTTAACTCTGCATATGATAGATTGGCTGTCCGTATATCACTTAGTTCTATTTCTGGAGCTTTGATCTGTTCTTTTATTTGGGCCATATTTCTTTTATCTCAGTACACCTGTTATGTTGCAAGAGGTAGAGCCTGGACCTGTATGTATAGGAGGGGTCCGCCATGGAACAATGCTGCTTGCTTGTTTGGCTGGCTTTCAGTCATTTCCCTGCTACTTACAAGCGAATTGGGCCCTTCTGGTGCTGATTCCCGGGTAGATGGGTTTGTGTACATTCTAGGATCCTGTTGGTCTCTCCAATGAACTCTCCTGTGAGGTGGGGAGTTTCTCCTGCCACTGTAACACCCACAGATTTTTACAGCCAGAGGTTTTGAGGCTTTATTCTCCCGCACTAGGTGCGGGAAATAATAGCAACTGGGTGCGGGAGAATAATAGCAACTGGGTTGTACGGTCTTGCTCTCTAGTTGTTGCTCTTCATTTATCTGCATGCAAATGTAGGGCCACCTGGTCCACAAGCTACCGCCTTGCCATTTGTCCTCTCTGCCCTGGCTGCTCATCTCTGCCCCTCTTACTAGTCTGAATGAATGTTTCTTCTTTAACTCCTTGGTTGTTGGATTTCCATAGAGTTAGCTTTTCTGGCAGATCTGGTTATTTTTGCTTTTAAATTTGTTGTTGTCCTTCTTTTGGTTGTGCAAGGAGGCAAAGTGTATCTACCTATGCCTCCATCTTGGCCGAAAGGACCAACTTCTTGAAATAAGGAGCCTTTATGGGAATTATCTTGAGAACTGATGGAAGAGGTTTTGTCTTCCAAGGAGAGCAGTAGAAATAAAAAATTATTACCAAATGTTACCACAGTGTTACTGTGAATTTTTTTTAGTAAAATTAGCTTGAAAGCACTATTGCTTTTTTGCTAGAAAGTGCCTCCTTGGAATATTTTAAAATTTAAAATATTAGGAAATATTTAGTGCATATTTGTTCAGTGAGAAGTATAAAGGCTGAAACTTTTTCCAGGGGGATAGATTCTAAAAGACTTACCTTTCCTTTTTTAAAAAAGATTTTATTCATTTATTTTTAGAGGACAGGGGAAGGAAGGGAGAAAGAGAGGGGTAGAAACATCAATGTATGGTTGACTGTCATGTACCCTGTACTAGGGATCTGGCCCTCAACCCAGGTGTGTGCCCTGATAGGAAATTGAACTGGCGACCCTTTGTTTTGCACGCCAGCACTCAGTCCATTAAGCCACACCAGCCAGGGCAAGACTTCCCTGTCTGTTCCCAGGAAAGCGTGTACTTACTTCTGTGACATAGCTAAGGATTAGTGATTGCTTGCTCTTTTTAGAATAAATGAAGAACATCTTGTTGTTTTATATTTTGTTTATATTAATTTCTTTCATATTTTAGATAAACGCCTGTAGTCATTATGGCTTAATCTATCCATGGGTTAATGTCTTAATATCATCTGATTCCTTAGCTGACTCACATTACACAGAAGATCTCTCCAAATTACAGGTAAATAAAAATGCCTCTTTATTACAATTTAATGTAGGATATACATTTGGTAAGACCTTAGGTGTTCTATTAATCTAGAGTGTGTACTTTTGAGGGACAAAATCCACTGTTAGGCAGGCTCAGGAGCTCTGAGGGGAATTCTTGCCTCTGCCTGAAATGCTCACAGGAAGGCTGGTTTCAGTACCTTAAATGAATGAGCATCCAAGTCACATGACTGTCCTGCCTCTTTTTCAGCATGTGCTTGAAAACACTTTGTGATATGCAAATATGGCAAATGTTTAGCATAGTTTTATTAATATAATTCATGGGTTTTTTTTTTGTCTTCACTCATACATTTTAGGCCTCTAGCCCAATGCAGCCACTATTATCTGTTTTATAGGAAATAAGTCAAAGTAGCCAATTTATCTGGCTCTTGAAAAGGAATTTTTTAAAATTTTCTTAAAGATTTTATTTATTTATTTTTAGACAGAGGGGAAGGGAGGGAGAAAGGGAGGGGAACATCAATGTATGGTTGCCTCTTGTGCACCCCCTACTGGGGACCTGGCCTGCAACCCAGGCTTGTGCCCTGACTAGGAATGGAACTGGCAACCCTTTGGTTCACAGGTTGGTGTTCAAAACACTCAGCCACACCTGCCAGGGCAGGATATTTTTTTAAAGTAAGAAATAGGATCAGAGAATGTAGATCATCCTACAGGAATTCTGACTGTGACAGTGTTTTGACTGGAAATGAGAAGTAAATCTACATTTTACTTGGTGGATCAGGCTGGGCTAGGTGTGGATGTGGTTTTTCTCAGTGTAGTTCAGTGGTCCAGGACCCATAGAACCCCCAAATCTGTTTTGTTTGGTCTGCCCAATGTATCTACCAATGTATAAAAATTTACACTTTTATTTAAGAATCTGAGTTTTAAGTTTCTCTTGAAAAGTTCAGCAGAACTGGTGACTCTGGCCCCTCATTGCCTGAGACCTTCAGGTTGGAGCCAACTAGTGGCTTCCCTTGGGCAGTGCTCATGCTGTCTTGCCTGCCACAGTTCTCATCTCAATCAGTGTCTTCTTGGTCCACGTACTGAGTATGTGGTGTCCATTTTCCTTATATCCAGCTGCCTTTTGGCCTCTTGAGGTTTTTGAGTTTGCAACTCCTGATTTACACTAGGAACAGGTGTCAGTGTTATTACTGCTTACGAAAACGAAAATTGGGGGTCGGGAGGGAAGGTCAACAGACGATATTGCTTAGACAGCCTCCGGATAGCCTGTGTTGTCTTCAGAAGTTAAGTCATTCACAGTCATAAAAAAATCAACAAAGATGATTCGTATTGGTTCTTATCTTTGGTACCCTTATGATATAGAGGCCACTGAGCCCCAAATTTGTTCCTCTCACAGATATTCCTTGAACATGAGCTGTAGATGTGTATAGCATTGGACAAGACAGGCAGGGCCTTACTTTCCTGGGACATATGTACTAATGACATATGTAAAATCGTAATTGTAACAAGTGCTGTTAAATCTCACCTGATCAAGCTACCAAGCATATTTGTAATCACTGCTTGAAAAAGTATAAATCAGTGGTCGTTTAAAGTCCATTTTAAAGTATTTAAAAAGGGTAGGTTCTTTCTGGGAGTCTTTGCTGTTCGAGGATGGAAAGGTAGTTGGCTTGAACTTCCAGATTATCTGTGAGTCATTTAGAACAAAATAACCCTCAAAAAACAAAAAGATTGCAATTTCATGTGGCTGTCCCTTAGAGGAATGGGGAGGTTCAGAACCACCACCACACACAGATTCGATGTATCTCATGTCCTCAGTCAGTATAATATTATACATATTTGTGCAAAAAATTAAAATAAAAACAATATAGAAATCATCTACATGTCAAAAAAGCTGTTATTTGAAATGATACAGTAACTAGTAAATACTCTACCCTTTGCCAAAATTGTCACAGACCTCTCACCTACCTCCTTGCCAACCACCTCACCTAAGAGTGGCAGTTGATTGTCTAGGTGGAGAAGCAGAGGAGTCCGGGTTCCAGCCCTGCAGAGTTGGCTGAGGGATCTAGATCAGAGAAGGGGTGAATAGTGCATGTGCTTGGGGGTAGAGAGGCATCCATTTCCAATATTTAAAAAGAAAAAAGGAGCAGTCTGATGGATCTCCCTTTTGACCCAGCTGTTTCACTTCTAGGAATATCTCCTAAGAATCCTCACACACCAATACAAAAAAAAATGCACCCTTATATTAAAGCATTATTTACAATAATCAAGATCTGCAAACAACCTAAGTACCCATCAGTAAATGAGAGGATAAAAAAGTTGTGGTACATTTACACAATGGAATACTACACAGCAGTGAAAAAGAAGGACCTCTTACCTTTTGCCACAGCATGGATTGACCTGGAGACTATTATGCTAAGTGAAATTAGCCAGTCAGTGAAAGACAAATGCCATATGATCTCACTTATACGTGGAATCTAATGACCAAAATAAACTAACAAACAAAATAGAAACAGAAGCATTGGACAGGTGGCAGCTGTCAAAGGGGAAAGGGAGTACTGGATGAAAGAAGGTAAAGAGAGTAGCCAAAGAATATATATGCATGACTCGTGGACATGGGCAATGATATGGGAATTGCCTGAGGAGGAGCTGAATGGTGGAGGGCAAAGGGAGAAAAAGTGGCAACAATGCTAATAGCATAAGCAATAAAATACAATTTAAAAAAAGGAGCACTTTAAAGAGAAGTAGTAACCTTTGGACCATTTTTAAATTCAGTAGTATATGTGCTTTTTGGTGTTTCTTATTTTTAAACTTCTTGATGATATGGATAAAACTAAGTAAAAATTCATGGATAATCCATTTTATAGCAAGCTTTGACTAGTTTCATTGTAACCATGATTTGGGTTACTCATGCCTTGCTCCCTCCTTCCTACCTATCCTATTGTCTTGAGTAATCAAAAGTTGAATATAGAAATAGTCTGTGTTTTCTTTTATGTTGGGAGGTCCTGTAAGTGGCAGATTATCACCTTATTTCATGTTTGCTATCTTTTTGTCAGGAATTATTCAGATGAAGTTGATTATTAAACTTGTAGGAAGGAAAAGGACCAACCTTATTCTTTCAGCCATTCCTTGGTGGACATTTGGAATAAAATAATCATGCTGACTGTAAATAGGTAGTTCACGTGCCATATCGTCCTGTGAGCTTGAGAAGCTGTAGCAAAAAGGATATAAGAAGAAGAAAATCAGTATATAATCATCTCATCTTTATCTATAAGAAAGCAAAAACAGATTATTTCAGTGGTAGAATCAGCAGCAGTACAGTTGGCTCTTTAACATTGTGGGGGTTAGGGTTCCACCAGCTGCCTGCACAGTGGAAAATTCACATACAATTTAAGTCAGCCCCCAGCATACATAGATTTCCAGCTGCCAGATGACCCTTGAACAACTCAGGTTTGAACTGTGCAGTCAATTGAAAAAAACCAAATAAGTGGACCTGTGCAGTTCAAATATGCATTGCTAAGTGTCAGCTGTATTTATAGTTTAAATGCCTAAGAGTAAAATTGATTACAGTTCTGTATACTGAAATAGTACCTGCTCTGTTATTCAACAAAATGGTGGTGTTACAAATTATTAGGTTCTTAACAATTGCTTTGGTTTTCTTAAATTTTAGTTTTGTTTATATATAATGCATGCTTATTATCCAAACTTTGGAAAATACAGGGGGAAAAAAGTGGGCTCAGTCCTCCCATTCAGTGAGCTGATCTCTGTTCAAATTCTGTGCTTTTTCAAAAGCATTTCTGTATGTGTAGGTATCTATGTAGATTTCACAAAACTGATCATGCCCTGAATATAATTTTATATTGAATTTTTTTACTTATCATTTTATCATGAACATTTTGTCATTAAGTAGCCTTTATAATATTCAATCATACAAAGGTATCATGATTTACTCATCCCTTTTTGTGTGGCATTTAGGTTGCTTCTGGTATCATCTTATAAATACTCTTGTGATGAACATCATTGAACATAACTGTCTGACCGCAGTGTTCTAGGACAGAGTCCTAAAGGGTTCCTGCTAATTATAAAATGCAGTCTATCCAAAGCAAGTGAAATCATGTTATTTTTTAAATGATTGCTTTCTATCAAACAGATTGTTATTCTATCAAACAGAGAAGTGGCACAAATATTATTTAATACTTTACTAAATAAATATCATATGCATGTGTTCTAAAATTGCATTCTTGGGGGGGCAAGTGAGGTTTATAGTCTTTTTAAAAAATTGTATTTTGTACTTTAGATTTTTGGGTGTTTCATTCCATAACATTTTACTTTTCTGTTCATAGTCTCTTATGTGTGGTCCTTCATTTGACATAGCTTCCATTGTTCCGTTCCTGGAACCACTCTCAGAAGACACAGTTGCTGGCCTCAGCGTCCAGGTTCTGTGTCGGACGCGTCTAAAAGAGTATGAGCAGTGCATCGACACACTGCTAGAGAGGTGCCCAGAGGCCATCATTCCTTATGCTAATCACGAACTGAAAGAAGAGAATCGGGTATGCTTTTCAGATTACTTTTTAGGCTCCATAGTGATAATCAGATTTGATCATTTTGTTGCCTTATCTGCAAAATAGGGACAAATCATGCCAGTCCAGCTTCACAGGACTGGGTGGGTCAAATGAGTACATACATTTAACATGTTATGTGTCTTGAATACTGTTGGAGGCTATTAAAATGTATGGCAGTGGTATGTTATCTTCATTTAAAACCTCTCATTGAAGAAGTAGTAAGCTGTGAAGACTGGGGAAACAGTGATGGTGGGAAAGCATTCTCTGGGCTACATGGTCTTTAGTTTAGAAATTAGAATTTCAGACTTTAGTACTTTTTCTCATTTTCCTTTCTTCCTTCTTGCCACCTAAGAAATAATCCAGGATATGCCTACATTCCTTTTTAAAAATAGCTGCATACACATGTACAATATACATATTATTCGATTTCCAAGCTACAAACATGACTTTTATGTTATAGTTTAAGCAGAAGACTGGCTGCTGATATAACTTCAGTTATAATAAAATTTACTGCCCTAACCAAAATGATGTATTTTTGCCCTGTACCTTTCCTGCATGATCTTCTTATTCTTGTTGGAAACTTAATGTAAAATGCATCAAACTTAAAATTTATTCATTTTTTCTAAGATAGACTTTGTGGTGGAAAAAACTGCTTCCTGAACTTTGTCAGAGAATAAAATGTGGTGGAGAGAAGTACCAACTCTACTTGTCATCATTAAAGGGTAAAACGCTTATTTTTGCTTGATTATAAATTTAATTGCATCCTAATTTTAGTTTCTATAATTTGTTATTAAAGATTTGCTTTCTGTAGTTTTTCATGTGATTCTCAAGTGAGGTGAAGAGGCTCTTAGAATCCTCTAGAGAGCTTATTTTCAGCATTCATGTGCTCCCCCCATCACATTGGGTATTCATTTATCTCCTCTAGCTGTAGAGCTGATGTTTTTAAGTTAATCTTTTCAAATACCTAACAAGTTATCACAGGCATAGAAACTCAACCTCAGTATTTTGAAAATTTGAATTTTCATTAAGACTATTACATTTTTATTAGTGATCTCAGTGCTTAATTTACTTTATGTAGGAAATTAAGATGATTGTCATTATTAATCATAGTTGTAAGTTAAGTATTGAAGAATGACAAGGTTCTCAAGGATTTAGAAGTTGAGTGTCCCTAAATTATGCAATATTTTACATCATTAGTCATTATTTGAATTTTCATAATTCATAATCATTTATGAATCTTAATACATGTATGGTTATCAAGTACTCTACCCTTGTGTGTTAATATCACTAATTAATTGTTGGCCTGATGACAGTGAGTATGGTTATATTGATTTTAGTATGCATAAAATATTAGAAATTGATAGTATTGGAATTTTATTTTCCAGCAAAGGTAATTGGTTTGTAAAACGTTAGGCAGAGCCAGCGGCTCTTGGAAGGTGTGTTTCTGAAAATTCCCATTCATGGTTTGGAGGAGGTGGCTTTGTACTAACTTTCTGTCTGACCATCTCTCTGGGTGAGTTTTGGTTTTCAGAAGATGAAATTGTCAGTTGTTTGTGCCCTGCCCACCTGCATCAAATTTATCACATGATTTTGAACTGATGTTTTGTGTTGGTAGATCACTTTTTCGTGCAGATAGTCCATATCTTCACACCTTAGTTATATTACTACTTTACTCAAAAGATTCTTTCTTCATTCTTTTTTATGTGTATTTTTATTGAATTTATTGGGGTGACATTGATTAATAAAATTATATAGGTTTCAGGTGTACAGTTCTATAATACATCATCTGTATATTATATTGTGCATTCACCACCCCAAGTTAAGTCTTCCATCACCATTTATTCCCTCTTTACCCTCTTCTACCTCCCTCTATCCCCCTTCCCTCTGGTAATCACCATACTATTGTCTTTGTATATCAGGGGTCATTTTGTTTTTTGGATTTTTGCTTAATCCCTTCACCTTTTCACCTAGCCCCCACAAGGTCTCTCTCCTCTGACAGCTGCCAGTCTGTTCTCTATGAGTCTGTTTCTTTTTTGTTAGCTTATTTTGTTCTTTAGGTTCCACATATGAGAGAAATCATATGGCACCTGTCTTTCTCTGACTGGCTTATTTCACTTAGCATAATAATTTCCAGGTTTATCCATGCTGTTGCAAAGGGTAAGATTTCCTTCTTTACAATGGAGTAATATTCCATTGTGTAAATGTACCAGTTTTTTTTATCTATTCATCTACTGGGCACTTGGGCTGTTTCCACATCTTGGCTATTTGAAGTAATGCTGCAATGAACATGGGGGTACATACTCTCTTTCAAATTTTTGGATCCTTAGGATATATTCCCAGAAGTGGAAGTGCTATGTCATAAGGCAGTTCCATTTTTAATTTTCTGAAGTCCATACTACTTTCCACAGTGGCTGCACCAGTCTACTCTCCCACAAACAGTTCACAAGATTCCCTTTTTTCCACATCCTCACCAACACTTGTTGTTTGTTGATTCATTGATGATGGCCATTCTGACAGGTGTGAGGTGATATCTCATTGTGGCTTTAATTTGCATTTCTTTGATAATTAGTGACGCTGAGCATCTTTTTGTATGTCTACTGGCCATCTGTATGTCTCATTGGAGAAGGGTCTATTCAGGTCCTTTGCCCATTTTTAAATTGGATGTGTGTGTGTGTTCAGTTGTATGAGTTCTTTAGAAATTTTGAATGCTAACCCCTTACTTGCTTTATCATTGGCAAATATGTTCTCCCATTCAGTGGATTGTTTTTATTTTGTTGATGGTTCCCTTTGCTGTGCAATAATTGCTTTTTAGTTTGATGTAGTCCCATTTTTTTTTGTTTCCCGTGCCTGAGGCAATAATCAGAAAAAGTGCTGTGAGAAATGTCCACTGCCTATGTTTTCTTCTCATCCTTTTCTGATCCACATTCACAAACTCTTTACCATGAACTTACTCATAATCATTCCTCCAAATGTTCCTGTTTTCTGTATCTTCAAAATATCTTTGTTTTTGTACACACACGTATGTGTGTGGCTCATGGGACTACGTACTGTGTGTGATTTACCTTTATTAGACGCCTGTACCTCAAGAGCTGGTATAGTGTTTTAGTCACTTTTCATGTTGCACCCCCTTACCAGCAATGTGCCCCTCACAGAAAGCCTTCTGTAAGTAATTATTAATTCAAAGGGGAGAATCTTAATTCAGATCCATTTTCAATGGAGATCTTTGGGTTGGCAGCTGTAGTACACTGAGAAGCGACTAGGATTGGAGCCTGGAGAATTGGAGCTGAGTTCCAGGTCTGCTACTTACTGAGTGACCTGAAGCAGGCAGAATTTTTAATATCCTGGGACTAATGAGAAGTTCAGGGAGAACTCTATAGTAAAATACTAGGCAGAATTGCAAGATGGTAGGGTTCAAGATGGAGGGCAGGGACTTACATGCTTAGGAGCTTGGATTTCATATCTCCAATACAGTGTTCCTCAACCTTGGCACTGTTGACATTTTTGACCAAATAATTTGTGTGTGTGTGTGTGTGTGTGTGTGTGTGTGTGTGTAGGTGTCTCCTGTATGTTTTAGGACGTTGAGCAGCATCCTGGCCTCTACTCCTAAATACCAATAGCACTGTCCCAGTTAGGACAAACAAATGTCTCC